ACCTGTTGGTAAACATGCACCTCTTGTATATCTTTGATTCTTTGTTACAGCTGTTTCTGTTATCCTTGTATTAATATTTTACTAATTCCTCGTTTCATTCCTTAATGGAGAGTTAGTATAACCTGTTATAGACGAACATTTATACCATTTTAACCTTTTAATAACCTGCCAACTTCATGGAGTTTTTATAATACATTACGTATATCAGAAAAGAACCCGAGATCGTTTATCAATTCTCAAAACAAATTTTCACTGGAGAAATCTAAAAAGCAAAGATACAGCGCTTTTCAATGAATGCTGTTTGTCGTCTCAAAATCACAGTAATGCCACAAAATCACAACTCACTGAAAGTTCAAAATATATGATCCTCATATCTTTAATATCTCGACAGACCAAATTACATTGGTAAAGAGATACACACAATATATATTTCATAATTCATATGTACAAATATACAAAAGTAAGACAGAGGCAATTACAGAGATTACAGAAGTTGTAAACATTAAAAGGGTATAAAGTACATGGTTTGGCTCTCTTTGGCAAACCATGTACTTTATACCCTTTTAATGTTTACAACTTCTGTAATCTCTGTAATTGCCTCTGTCTTACTTTTGTATGTTTGTACACAAATTTACACAAGTTGCTTAGCTCATATAGACTTTTTACTGTTTAACAGTTCATTAAATTTCAGTGAATTTGGTTCATTTCTCAATAACTGTTTACGGTCATCACTTAAATACAGAACATGGAAAATATATAATGAAATTCATCTCCGATATCTCCAGAGTTACAAAGGAAACATTTTCTAGTTTCGCTTGCAATAGTTTGCCATCTACCAGTCTCAATATGCAATTTGAGATTTCCTTTTCTAGACCTTCATACAGTAAAACTATTTTTGTCGTCTAAATTTTTTAAATCATTTTCAAAGTTCACAGAACTGTTTTCTTCATGCATACGATAGTTGAGTGCTTTTTTGTGATTTTCGTACATTAGCACCGGTTTGAGTTATTTGCTTGATTTCGATAAGGTTGCATTTGTGGGCTGAAACACACAGATACAGGATAATAACAAGCAACAGATTATATCTGCTCAGTTTGATCATAATGCTTTTTTTCCCACAAAAAAATTGATGAACTGCACACATTCCAAACATGGATTAACAAGTGGGAGCTATTGGATCAATCGATCCCTAAAAGCATACACCGAAAGTATACGGACAGCTTTAACATAGAAAAATTAAATCATCTTTCCAAAAGAGACCAAATGACGTAGAAGTAAGCAACTATTGGTCACCGTAAGGCCTTCATCAATGAGCTAAACCCATACTGCACGTTATTAGTTCTTGAATCAGAACTGAAAACAAAGTAATAGAACATTAAACAGTCACATGACTACGGACTAGAATTAAAAAAGAAGCGGATTCACAACGTTTTACTATTTATTGATTGTTGTAAGCTTATCGACAACAGTCAAATATTTATGCATATTCAAGACGGACGAGAACAAATTAATAATAAGTCTTTGCAAAATTGATCGAGGGAAATTTGCATGGACTGCAGCTGGAAAATGAGAACTTGTTAGATAGAGCCAGAAAAGTATAGACAAAAATACCAAAAAAAAAGGTGAAGTCCATAAAAACTGACAATATTACACGTTTGACTTTATCAACCAGCGAAACAAATGGAACACAGCTGTCATATTTGTGACTTGGTACAGTCGTTTTCTGAAGAAAATGGAGATTTAACCTGGTATTATTGCTAGCCAAACCTCCCATTTGATTGACATTTATTAATAGTTCCCTTATATTGATAAAATTGGATGAACAACCCAAGCAGACACAATAGGTTAGTTAATGTGACAATAATTTTGATCCAGCAGCCAAAACTGTGTAAACATACATCACAGACATACAACACAACTGACTAAAAAAATCAAACAAACATATAAATAAATCTAACAAAGACGCCAACAAAGAAGTGTTAGTAGTTGATAGTATACATACAGTACATATAGTATACACTTTCTTGATAAACCATTAAATATGATAAAGTACAAACTAATAAAAATATAAATACAAGAATAAACAAAATGAAAACAACACTGTAAAAACCTCTTTCGTCCGAATCGCACCTCTGCCCCTACCTGCACCAGGAACGCCCAAAGAAAAAATCCCGATAGCTGGATGCATAAATACCGAGTCATGTTAAAAGTCATAAGAACAGCACAAAGGCAAATATAGGGAAAACTGTACAGTCAATGGAAAATACACAACTTCAGCAACTTGAATCTATAAATCAAGAACATCTTGTAATATTTGTGAAGTAAACACTGAATGTTTTTCTTTTAGGTCTTGGTACTTTCCGATTAACTTTTTGAGAAAAAGGACAATTCGTTCTTTGACAAAATCCTTACTCTTTAATTTTTTGCTCAGACACCGAAGACGTTTTACAAAGTTTGAGTAGCCAGCTGCAAGCTCTTGAATGTCGTATGAGTTGAGAAATGTTTACTCGAAACTGACCGCTTATGGCCATATCAATGTTGTTGCAGGCGTTCTTTATAACGTGCAAAAGATGCATGTGGCTAACGTCCCTGATTCTACCAGACATGACTGTGTATTAATACGTCACGCAGAGTGCAACAGTCGAGCCTTGCTTTGGAATCGTATCCTCCAGACGGAAAAAAATGTGTATATTTCTATACACCAGGATGCTCTTTCGATACTATACTAGCATTGTCAAAATCCTTAAGGATGACAAAACAGTTTCCAATGAAAATATATAGATACATGTATAATAAATGTGCATTTATTTATTTTCATGAGAGAAGCACAACATCCAAGTTCCTTTGTACCTATGTATTTTTTTATTAAAGGTTTGTTCTATCCTCAAGTTTGTTGTTTTGACCTTGAATTGGTATTTTGCCCTAAGTATTTAGTTTTAGTGTTTTCTATTTGTTTTGCTTATTTTTGAATATTTCTTTCTTAACGTCTGTCTCTGAAAACGTCAAATGTCAAATTAATTTACTTGTCCAAGACATCAGATGAAAAATTGTGAAACAACTGAAATAATTACGAATGTGAAGTGAAGTAAATCTTCTTAATAAATGATATACGTCTATGTGGGTCTGGATGGGGTCCTTCATTTCTGTATTCTTTAATTTTTTTGGCCTATTTTTCTCTATTCTTTAAATTTTTGCCCTGTATTCTGCATATTTTGTCAATAATTCTCTATTCTGTAAACCCCATCCCGAAACTCGTGTATCTAAACACTAGTCTGATTTTTACCCCATTCGTTATAAATTGCTGAAAATTTTGAACAAACGATCTTGTGTTTATATTGAAAAGGAAAACCAGAAAACACCACTATTTGAAAATAATATCAATAAAAACATATTAAAAATAAAAAATTAAAAAATAAAATAAAATATGCACTCAAATAAAAAACACCACTATTTGAAAATAATAGTGATAAAAAAACATATAAAAAATTAAAAATAATAAAGAAACAAATATATACTCAAATAAAAAAAATACTTAAAAAGAAAAATTAGTCAAGACATCCATAAATAAATAAAAACAATTACGTATTATAGAAAAGTCAGTCGAAGTTGTTTTTACAGTTTATATGTTTCATTTCTTACCATCTGCTGATTGCCATGAAAATAAACATTACTAGATAACAGACACCTATAAAAATTAAAGGATAATACTTAAAAGGCTAATTTGATTTTCCTGTCGATTAGGATCATCAATGTTACGTAATTCAGGTGATAATCACAGGTAATTGTCACACGTGCCAGAATGACAGCAAAATTGTAAATTTATTAGAAAAACAGCACCCTTCCCGTGTCGCCTTAACCAATTAAATGGGAGGGACCTTATGACACCGGTGTTTGGACATAAGTGGCAAATGGTCAATGTTTACTCCACTCTTTAATTTATATATAGATTTTATTTTTCGCGGATAAATCAAATGAAAATATTTATTATGACCAGGAGACAGTAAATTTTGTTTGAAGGAGAATTTATTTATGATAAGAAAATGAGGAACAATAAAAGGAAAACTTTATGTGCATCGTCACGTGATACACCATTACAGTGGAGAAAAGGTACGTAAAACATTTTTTTCAACGAGAAAAGTGTTAAAAATCATTAATTCATCAAGTCATAATTAAGAGAGTTCAGTCGCTTGAATTTTTTCGTACTTATTCCTAAGATAAAATCCGATATTTTCAAAGCAAATATTCTGTTGAAAAGGACAGTTACAATATTAATGTTCGATTTGATAAAATACTTTAAATATATATCGAGTTATAGACGCATCGTATCAAATCATCCTCTTCTAGTATAATCCAAGTAGTGAAAACTAATAAGTAATATTAATTTGTATAATGTAAAAAAAATAGTAAACAAACAAAAAATCGCAATGCTTTAAAAGATGAAAATTTTATTAAAAATTGTTGAAAAATATTCCCCGAAATAGCTGTTCGAGAAAATAATTTGAAATATGTAAATTAAGTTGGCTCTGGGACTATTATACTAACTAGTATAATAGTCCCAGGTTGGCTGCTTAGTTGATAAGACCCCGTTTATAAACATTATGGTTCAAAATACGTATTGTTCAAGTTTGATTAATACAGCATGGATATTCAAAATTTATTATATTGCAAATTCATTTGAAGTTTGTATCATACATTATCAAAATAAAGTCCGTTCCCCTAACAAATGTTTTTCATAATATTGGAAATCGTCACTGCTGCATGATAATTAAATTCAGGTGTCCATACAGTTGTTTACTTTAGTTTGATTTACTTGTCATTTATTAGATGAAACTATTATATGTCCTTCAATTGTTGTCCCATTCCATAATTGAAAAGTAACCTATAAAATTGCTATGACGGATTTTCATCTGGTTTGCTTCCAGTAAGTGGTCTAACTATTTTAATCGTCTTAACTTTTAACCAATCATTTCCTTCGTTACGAAGCACCAAGGAACTTGTGGAGGCCATTTCAAATTTAGTAAACACTACATATTTGAATGAATGGAAGTAAATGAAGCGAAAACAACTTTTAAATCTTAAAAGTCTGGGAATTAGTGACAGTTTTGATGTTTTTAAGCACACATTTCATTCTCTGCGTTCGTGCGACTTGTAAAGTGATATATTTCTTTCAAAAAAAATATATGTTTTGTTCTGTTTATCAATATCTTCATCCATGACAATCTAACACAGGCTGAGGGGATATTTTGTTCGTAATTGTGTTTTTGCATGTCTGTTGTGCTAAAAATGTCATCTTCTGTAACAAAAATACCGGGACTATCTTTGTCGGCGAGGAATAAACGAAAATTGCCTGAAGTTCCAAACGTATGCATACAAAATGGGACAGAAAATTTAAAAACCCATACAAAGTTTAATCCAGAAACTGTTGAAATATCAATAGGTGGTACACACAGTAAAGGACGAATTAAGCCAGGATCTGAATGTATAAAGTTGTCATTTGACAAACCAAATTCCTCAGATGATTCTCTCTCTGCATATGAAAGTAATACAAGTAGTTTATCAGGTGACACAACATTCACAAATTCAAGTGTTTGTGATCAGTCAACTGATAATGCAGAACATGATTTTATTTCAAATTGGACTAATAACAAAGAATGTAATAAAGAAAACTTTCTTACTCCAGTTAAGGAACCAAGAGGACCCCCGGAAATGGACAGGTTTGATTTTATCTCGCCAAACAATTGCAAGACCCCTAAAAGAAGATACACAGAAGGTGACAAGTTGATTGCTACTCCAGAATGTTATAATGCAGTACAGATTGAGGATTTATCAAGATTTGAATTCCACAGCGATGATGATGATCATCCAAGGGAAGATAGTAGTAGTCTAACAGTAGCAGTACGAGTTCGACCTCTCAATGCAAGGTGCAGTAGTCATTTTAATAAGAACACATTTACTTTTGTTTTTAGCATTTTTATACAAATAAAAAAAAAATTTGTTTCCAGCTACAAATGTAATAAAATTAAATGCTCTCTAACATCAACATGTCTAATGGGGTCATTGACCGATTAATTTAAGTGTCATGCATGAAATGTATCAAAGCTTCAAAATACATTTATATAATGTTCTGAAATGGCAAGTCTTGTAAACACATATTATTAGCTTTAAAACTTTAAAGTATAAGAGAATTTTTTTCATATATTTTAATGCCATTCAATGATACATTGCTACAATACATGTACATGTATGTACATGTATATGAGCATCACAAATAAATTGAAAAAAAATGGATGCAAAAATTCAGTATTCTTCTCAGGGTCTTTATGAATACACCTTATCGCTATTTATCCGCCATTACTGGACATGACAAAAGTTCCCGTAAAATTTTGACGTCATAATAGAAAATATCTGACACCACAATGGAAAAGTGATTGTTGTAGGACGTCAAAAGTTCAAGCGGGACAGATTCTCGGGTCAAGCGGGAATAGCGATAAGGTGTATACATTTTCCGCAATAGAACCATTATGATATTCTTTACCATGTTGCTATTGGAAAAGATTTTATAATACATGCACATGTACAAATGTGGAATGTATTTGTAAATGTGGTTGTGTAATATTTGAATCTTTGGGAAACATGTACAGTACTACAGGATAGAAAAGAATTCTGTATACACAATGTACAAAGAAAAAAACACAAAAAGCAAAGGAACAGAGCTTTGATTGCTGTTCCTCTTAAACTTTGGAATTTGATAAAATTAAATGCATTTTTCATCATTTCCACTGAAAGACATGATTTGTTAATTGTATATGTAAATTATTATGTCATTAACATGTAAATATAAGAAGATAATTTATGGTTTGAGCTGTTTGCCATGTAAACACCTAAGGACAATGATGTACTGGTATACATGGTATACAACTAAAAGTCATCATATGGCCTTAAACAATGAGAAAAACCCATGATGTATGTATTTGAAATTGGAATTATTTGAGTTCCAGTACTATGGACTCCTCAGAATCAGCTACATGTAGGACTCACCCTTAAAATATCTTAGCGAGAACCTCTAAGGCATTGCAAATGTAGAAGAAATGTGGGTCCCAGGTCTGCTGAGATTGTTAAAGACCCTTTCATATTTTCAAGCCCATGAAGGTTGAAGGCAATTCTGAAGACATATAGAAACCAGTCCAACAGTCTTTCATTCAGTTATCCAAGAAATGATTATTTCATGTACTTGTACAATGTATGATGATGAAATGAATTGTACATGTAAATGTATAAATTGTGTAAATTTGTATTTTGTTCAACAATATATACTTATATATGATACAATATTTTACAGAGAAGAAAAGATAGGCAACATCCGCTGTGTCGTTTCAATGTGTGACAAAGAAACAACAGTAACTAAGGATAATGGTTCCAAACAGACTTTTACATATGATTTTTCATTCTGGTCATTTGATAAACACAATGGCAATTTTTCTGACCAAGAAAGAATATACAAGTTGCTGGCCCAGCCTTTACTGGTCAAAGCTTTTGAAGGCTATAACACATGCTTATTTGCATATGGTCAAACTGGAAGTGGAAAAAGTTACAGGTATATATTACAACATACATTTTTTTGTACTTTACAATCTTACTACATGCATGATATGACTGCATGTTCTATATCATGTATATAAATATTTAATTAGTGATTAAGGTGAAAACACTCTTGCTGGTTTAGTGATTAAGGTAAAAACACCCTTGCTGGTTTAGTGATTAAGGTGAAAACACTCTTGCTGGTTTAGTGATTAAGGTAAAAACACTCTTGCTGGTTTAGTGATTAAGGTAAAAACACTCTTGCTGGTGTTGAATGATAAACAGTTTGATTACAGTGATTTTTGTAACCTTGCCACTTGCCATTCCTAGAACATATAGAGATTTCAAAGTGAATAACCCACAATCATTTTTATTCATTGTGAAAACCACCAGTTCTAGTGATTCACCATGTTTGTACTGAAAAAAAAGCCCCCCCCCCCCCCCCCAACCAACCAACCAAAAAAAAAAAAGTGAGGATATAATACATTTACCTTGATAAAAAAAGTACATATAAAACCAAGTTCTTATCTCCATAATTGTTTTAAGCATTACATTACAGTACATTCCAGCTTCATTTTAAAATAATTTTACCTCTAAATGTGTTTTTACATTTTTTAATTACAGTATTATGGGACAGGTAAACGAAGGAAGAAATGAAATAGGAATCATTCCCAGGTTTTGTGAAGAATTATTTTCACGGGTAGACCACGAAGTCACCAGAGATTCAGAAATGGTATGTATACTATTTTATGACTAACTTTATTAAATTGTCATGTTCAATTATGTTGGTGTTTTACGCTTGATTACACATGTTCTGTAAACATAAAAATCTAGTGCTGAGGCAATCTTTGCTTGTTCATGTTGTTTCTCAATCATGTAAAATGCACGAAAATACCCCCAGCAAAAAGTTTTAAAAAGAAACAATATTGATGAGGTGTGAACTTTCCATTGATTGGGGAGTTTAACTTCAACACAAAAGGTTAATGCAGATTTCTTGGATTTAGTTTAACTCTTTAAAAAAATTGAATAAATTTTTTTTCATATCTATATGCTTGTGTGCAAAAATCATTTAAAATCACAAAATCTAATAAACACAAATACAATTTTTTGCCCAATCTACAAAAAATAATGAAAGTATTATGAAAAATCAAATAAAATTTTTACACAACTGATTTTTTGTCGAGTCTGCGATGCTTCATACTTTGTATTTAGATGCCTTATGTTATGAAGTTTCTGTCTGTCATATGTCCATTGTCTTTGACCTCATTTTCATGGTTCAGTGACTATTTGAAAAAAAAGTTCAGATTTTTTGAAATGTTGATTTATCTATTATTATGAGTAATAGGATAACTATATTCAGTATGTGAATACCTTGCAAGGCCATCATGTATGTCAGACCGTTTTCAACTGACCTGGACCTCATTTTGTGGATCAGTGAACAAGGTTAAGTTTTCATGGGCAAGTCCATATATCAGATACTATAAGCAATAGGTCTACTATACTTGGTGTATGGAATGATTGTAAGGTGTACATGTCCAACTGGCAGGTGTCATCTGACCTTGACCTCATTTTCATGGTTCAGTGGTTAAAGTTAAGTTTTTGTGTTTTGGTCTGTTTTTCTTAATCTATAAACAATCGGTCAACTATATTTGGTGTATGGAATGATTGTAAGGTGTATATGTCTGTTTGGCAGGTATCATTTGACCTTGACCTCATTTTCATGGTTCAATGGTCAATTTCAAGTTTTCCTGGTTAAGTTTGTTTCTTAAATACTATAAGCAATAGGTCAAATATATTTAATGCATAGATTGATTGTAAGGTGTACTTGTCTGTCTGGCATGGTTCATCTGACCTTGACCTCATTTTCATGGTTCATTGGTCAATGTTAAATTTTCCTTGTTAAGTTGGTTTCTTAGAAACTTTAAGCAATAGGTTAACTATATTTGGTGTATGGTAATTGTAAGATGTACATGTATTTCCAGTTTGGTTTATCTGACCTTGACCTCATTTTGTTGGATCATGTTAAGTTTATTTGATACTTGTAGTAAAGCTTTCTATTTAGAACTATCAACATCAACTCAATGGTCAGTAAAGCCGGTGAGACATTTCAGCATGTGCACTCTTGTATTATTAATTGATGTTTTTTTTTTGTTTTTTTTTTACAAATTAAAAAAAAATATTTGTACTACTTGACAATGTGTTTGAAGTGTGAATATGCCGTCTTTATAGAGGTTTCAGGTACGAGAAAAAAAACATCAAACAAAATGGTACAATGTGCTGAACTTCTATTTACAAATATTTTGTGTATACAGATTTTGTTCATTTTAACAGTGTGAACTAACTTTATACCATTGGCACTGTATTAACCGTTCAACAACCCAGAAAATAGCTCTGTAGAATGAAAACTTATTAAAAGAATATAATTAAAAGTTACTAGTCCTTTTTAATAAACAGCTCCTCAAATACTAAAGCTAAATAATTAGTTCTTTTGTAAAGGACATAGTAATTTTCAGTACATTATCTTTGTGATAATATTTGAGAAAATTCCATTACCATTGGCACACTAAAATTATAATCTGTTGTCTTCTGCAAAGTAAAATCTATCAATTTGAACCTACTTCATTTGAAGTTTAAATGAAAATTCCATTCTAGTGTTGACTGAGGATTTACTTGAGTTGTGTATTGTTAATTCTATTGTTTGATTTTTAAATGAACAGTACTCAGCTGTTATTGTTTTCCCTTTCATAATAATAATATAGAACTTTAAACTTTGAAGTGATTTTAGTTAAGCATGTTAAATCCACACAGACATTTAAGTATTATGGTCTCTACTGATTTACTTTGATAGTTTTGTCAATAAAGTATGAAGTGTATTGTTGAAGAATTGATTATCAGTTTGTAAACAAAGTGAACAATTTTTTATTAAAATTTTGTCATGTCAAATTTCTTCAGTTAGAAATTGATTATTCTTGTTTAAAATGGAAACCCAGCATGTACATATGTACATACTTTGATCAATGACCAAAGCTGTAGTTACATTTAACAGACAAAATATTTGCACCAACATTAAAGACTGTACCTTTTCTTCATAATGAGCAACTTCTTTAATTTATATAATGAAAAGAAAAGAAGATAACACAGATTAATTGGTTTATTGATGTAAATATATTGAAACAGTAGGTACCTGAATTTCATTAGCACTGGGAATCAACAGAATTTTTAGATAGATAGTAATCAATCATATTGATAATCAAATGAGATTCGTCCCATGTGTAACAAAGATTTATATCAAAGAAGGAATGTGAAATGCACCAAATTACATAAGAAAGAATGTATGTATGTACGGAAAATAAGCTTTGCCAGATTTACCTCAAGAGTCCAGTAATACAAGTACCTTTTTGCTTAAAGTATGTGAAATATTTTAATTGCAAAATGTACGCTAGTCAGGCTAGCTATACTTTTTTTTGTGGTTAATTGATAAAAATCTTTTTGAATTATCCATGCCTTTAACATGTTAATAATACTTATTAATAAAAATTCCCATGTAGTAACTTTTAATTTACATAAATAATTAACTTTATGTTAAAATTGTTGTAAAAATATTTTGTCTGAGCATTATTAAGAATTAGCATTATTTTCTGACACCCGTTAATAGTCCAAATTTATAGGAACAGCCAGTCCAGTCATGATTTCCAAACCACGGTTGTTGATATGATTTTATATTCAAAGTATTAACTAGTCTTTATTATAAAGGACTGCCATTAAATATGTATACAGCTGTTATTTAAATATGAAATTAAATGAAATGCAATAAAAATATTTATTTATTATATAGGCTTACTTACTTTCTTTCAATTGTAAAATTTATTAAATATTATCTTTAAGGAGTCTTTCCTAAAATGTCTGTCATAATTTATAGAATAATAGAATTTACAATGTAAGCATGGTAAGTGTAGGTTGTTATATATACCATGTATATATACATGCTACTGTTTAATTAAAAGTCTTATAACTAAATAGACTAAATCTGCTGTTTACTTTTGTTTAATATACTTCAAATTTACTTTCAGTTATGAATACACAAATTTCATCTATGTTTTTATTGAATCTGGGCATTGATTGGCATGCATAACCACAGGGCTTTAAAAGTGCATCATGCAAAACATGGTACTACGGCAAGTCAAAGTCTTTGAAGTATGCATTGATGAAACTTCAAAACAATGTGACCTGGTCTGGAGTACACTTATCACATGATTCTGACATATATTTTCATTATTGAACAGTTGCTTGTGTATTAGGTTATGATTTTATGATGTAAAATTATCAAAGTCACAACATTTCCAGAAAGTTTATTTTGAATGTCACTACATAGTGGACCTGCCATGAATGAAAACTGTTTGCCATGAAATAGCCAATGGTGCTGAAAAACAATGTTATACACCAAACATTCAATCCATCAATTAAAAAGAAAAAAAAAACCTCAGTACCTTTTTTGTACTTTTAAAATTCTGACACCAGTCATGCCAGTGTGCTCTTAATTGGAATTAAGGGTATGATGATCATTCAGCATAAGCCATAATAATGTATTGGTTTAACATCAAATGCCTTTTACTTTATTTGAACTTTGTACGATGACCTATAGTTGCTTGCTTCTATGCCATTTGGTCTCTGGTGGAGAGTTGTCTCATTTGCAAACATACCACATCCTCATATTTTTATATTAAGACATTTTAAGAACTACTTGTATGAATGCTTAAAAATTGAAGAATTTAAAATAAAAGGCAACGAGGCCATGCTAATTTATTATCTAAGTCTACATATATTCATGACTAAATAGAAAAAGAAAACAAAATCAAAATTAATTTTAATACATTCGTATGACTGTGCCATGAATCAAATTATTTGATTTAAATTGTTTTGTGATTTTGCTGCAAAAAAAGCAGCCTGCTGATTAGTAGAAAGTTTTAAATACTCTCTGAATTTATAAAATGTTGATAATAGGTCTATGAATGGATAAAGGACTTTGCAAGACCAGTTAGAGCAAAATGTATTGACGCACATTAGAGGTAATCATAATTAATACAAGAGTCAGTTTTGTAGGTTAATTTGAAATCATACAATTAGTTATTTGAATAGAGGGCCATATAAACCAAAGTGTCAACAATGGTTCGTGCTCCTACAATACAATTGTATTAGAACTAAACAGTTAACAGGTCGTTATAATCCATAGTTTAATTGTGTGTGGGGATAACGAGTGTCACATTAAACAACAGTTCTATACATAAACTGATGAATAATAAGATATAGCCGTAATTGGTAGAATTAAATATCTATCAGGTTTGAATGGCTCTTTGTCAGATGTTTGTGCATTAGTTTGGTCCAATGTAGCACAAATGGTAGAAAGCATTAAATTTTTAAATGCTTTATATTCTGGGAAATTTTTTAAAACTGGTCCCAAGATTTCAGATTTTGACATGAAAAACCTGTTAATTAATTGTGAAGTGATCCGTTTGTCCTGTTATTGAAACTCTGAATGGATTTTGATAAGGTCGTTCAAATAATTTATAGAAAATCTACATTTAATAACCGGAAAAAAAACATTAAACTTTTTTATGACATGTATACATTATGTTAAAGTACTAGAATCAAACCAGTTTATTGGAATTTTATGTGTTGTCTGATCAATATATTAATAAATTTCCATTATTGTTCTATTTGGCATTTAATTGGAACATTAACATGTATAATATATTGGTAACCTTGTATGATTGAAGACATTAAGATTAGTGGGTGTTAAAACTTGTTATAATACTGTGATGTAATGTTATACTTTCTATTGTATTCTTTTTTTATCAAGATCGACAAAAAACAAAATATGTTTGTATATTTTCAAAATTCTCTTTGGGGGGATAACATTACATTATCTGGTTTTGATCTTTAATTAGATTTACAGCAATGAACATAATAAATTGTAAGCTTTTGTAATGCAGTTGATTTTTATCCCAATTTTTCTATTTTTTCATGTACAAGGAAGATGGAATTTGTATCATTTGTGTACAGTTTGTTTTATATTTTCCAATACTAGTAGTCTCTTAAAATTCACATGCAATTCTGAGCCATCAGTATGGCAGATGCTATAGTTAACACAAATAAACATCTGATGTACACAAATGCAAATTCCAATGTATAGCAATGGCAAGAGGAAACGTAGACAACAATAACCAAAACAATTATTTTTAATTAATAGCAATTGGGATTACAGATCCTAATGTATCTTCCAAACCGATAGCCGGTAATAGGGAATAAAAACTGGATAAAGAAAGAAATTATTATTGAAAATCATTAAAATTAAGTCAGAACATTGCATAGTTACCCTTTTGAATTTGTAATGTTGTGTTTCAGATTTTTTTTTACATATTGTTCAAAGGACTCAAACTTAAGGGTTAAGTTGGCTAATAAAATAAAGCTTGTGTACATGTTTCTCCATAAGTTCTTAGTCAGAATTTATGCATAACTTTTTATTTAAATGTATTGTAAAGATTACACATTCTTATTTAAAAAGTACTAGCAGTTAGAAAAAACAGACATATCTTTTTTTTTCTGTGTCCTTAAAATAAGTTCTGAAGTATGGTTGTGGATGAAAAACCTATATTTGTCATGTTTGTGGTATTTTGGATCTCATAAAAAAAAGCTTGAAATCCTTCCTTTGTCTAGATTGACACCAGTCTTATCAGTCTTCTTTTTCTGCCAAGACTAACTGATGCATTTGAAGTGTTGCCTGAGAGGGTCCAGCTGTGATGTCACATGGATTGCTTCTGTCATCTGTGGTGCTGATGTCACAATGTGTTAACCAAAAACTCCATCAAAACTGCTTGACAGAATTCATCTGTGGTGCTGATGTCACAATGTGTTAACCAAAAACTCCATCAAAACTGCTTGACAGAATTCATCTGTGGTGCTGATGTCACAATGTGTTAACCAAAAACTCCATCAAAACTGCTTGACAGAATTCATCTGTGGTGCTGATGTCACAATGTGTTAACCAAAAACTCCATCAAAACTGCTGGACAGAATTCATCTGTGGTGCTGATGTCACAATGTGTTAACCAAAAACTCCTTCAAAACTGCTGGACAGAATTCATCTGTGGTGCTGATGTCACAATGTGTTAACCAAAAACTCCATCAAAACTGCTTACCAGTTGTTGGCATGACACGGGTTATGTTCTTCTCATATATGTTATGATGGTATGATACTAAACCCCTAACGGGAAGGATTGTGATTGATATTCATATGATGAAGACATAATCTTTCAATCAGTTTAATTGAAGTCTGGAGCTGGCATGTCAGTTAACTGCTAGTAGTCTGTTGTTATTTATGTATTATTGTCATTTTGTTTATTTTCTTTGGTTACATCTTCTGACATCAGACTCGGACTTCTCTTGAACTGAATTTTAATGTGCGTATTGTTATGCGTTTACTTTTCTACATTGGCTAGAGGTATAGGGGGAGGGTTGAGATCTCATAAACATGTTTAACCCCGCCGCATTTTTGCGCCTGTCCCAAGTCAGGAGCCTCTAGCCTTTGTTAGTCTTGTATTATTTTTAATTTTAGTTTTTTGTGTACAATTTGGAGTTTAGTATGGCGTTCATTATCACTGAACTAGTATATATATTTGTTTAGGGGCCAGCTGAAGGACGCCTCCGGGTGCAGGAATTTCTCGCTGCATTGAAGACCTGTTGGTGGCCTTCTGCTGTTGTCTGTTCTGTGGTCGGGTTGTTGTCTCTTTGACACATTCCCCATTTCCATTCTCAATTTTATTGACAGAATTCATCTGTGGTGCTGATGTCACAATGTGTTAACCAAAAACTCCATCAAAACTGCTTGACAGAATTCATCTGTGGTGCTGATGTCACAATGTGTTAACCAAAAACTCCATCAAAACTGCTGGACTTAATTCATCTGTGGTGCTGATGTCACAATGTGTTAACCAAAAACTCCTTCAAAACTGCTGGACAGAATTAAATCAAACTTCAACAGATTTTTCTTCAGAACATGAAGTTGTGCATCTGCTATTTTGATATTTGATCCAAGTGGCTTTTAGACGTTCCCATATATATATAGACTTCCTTTTAGACATTTCTGCTTACATTAATTTGAGTTAGTGGAGACACAGCTTCCTTTGACGACACACATATGTTTTATTAAAAAAGAACTTTGAATTTATCATTTTCTTTGGCTTAAAAGTTTATAAATCCGTTAAAGTAAATTATTAAATATAAGATGCCTAAAAACTGCATATTTAAGTGTACAATTGTACATGATGTAGAAATCAGTTTAAGTATACACATGATACATGTATGTAAATTTAACAATTATTGCCATGATCATACCCAACAATAATATGTAGATATGTTATATTTTTTAAAATATACACGACATTAATTTTATTATAAGTAGCTGGGCCATAATATGCAAAAATGCAGATTATTATAATTCCTATACAAAGTAATTAACAAGATTATAAGATTGATTTTTTAGGTTTTGTGGTTTTACCTTGATATTCACAGTTAAAGCTATCATATGGCAATCAGAGAGATTTAAATTTAAGTGGACATTTTACATGTGTTCAATTTTTTGGTTAGCCAGGCCAATGAAAAAAATGTATAATTGAACATAAATTTTTGTATAAACTTTAAGATATCCAGTCATAGATCTATTGGTATTTAAACTATCAAATAACATCCCTGTTATCATTGTTATCATTGTTATAATTATCATCTTTATGAATAATGTTGATACTTAAGTCATTTTTAAATGTTTTGGTATTCACAATATAATTATGTACAAAACTGATGAGTACATATAGACATTTAAAATTTGCTGATGGCCCATTTTCTTTAAACCAACTATTCTTTGAGAGCAATTTATTTTCATGACTTTCGTGAGTAGAAAAATGAGAATTTAAATTGTTGCATTTGTGTTTAAAAATGTGTATCTTACTTTATAAAAATAAATCATGAAAATGATCAGATTTCGATAAACCACGAAGTTGGCTGGAAAGAAATTAATGTGAAATAAGATATGCACAAAAATTAGTTTGTTTACAGTATTCATGTAGAGGGCAAACAGTTTAAAATAAACATATTAGATTGTTTAGATCTTGTGTTGTAAAAACAGGTGATGATTATTTTGACTGATCTGGAATTAAGAGATAGGTGTGTTTTATGTGTGGTATAATACATGAAAGCAGGATGTGTAAAGACTATTGTTTGTCTAATTATTACATGCCTTTGGAATAAAATGTTGATCCTTATTATCAGATTATACTGTAGTTAATCAGATTTTAGACCATTTAATGCTAAATCTGTAACAGTAGAACAATATACAGTCAAATCTATTTCTGATATTTCTGTAGTCTTTTGTATTAATGTACAATTACATATGTGGTGCAGTTTGATATTCGTTTATACTTCTCTTATATTTCAGGTCAAAATCAATGTAGAAATATCCTTCTTTGAAATTTACAATGAGAAGATCCATGACTTGTTGGCTTCTTCTAAAGAAAAAGGTGGAAAGTCACAGGTAATTGAAATCAAAATCCTATATTGTCTAAAGGAGATGAATTTTCTTATTGTGCAGTATAAGAATAGAACAAAATATATAATCCCTTCAAGTGTTTCGAGAATGGTTTTATCTTTTAACAGTGGGTGCATGTGTATGTATTATTTAGTGCTTTGCAAATAGAGGGTTTGCTGAGTGCATGTTGAATATACCGGTACTACAATGTAGTTTTTTTTTTCAAATTAAGTAAAATTGCATATAAAATTTAAATCATAGATAAACAGTCAAATGACACATGGCCATCTGTCAATTGGCTGACATGATGCAAATATTCAATAGAATTCTTTCATGTTGGATTATCTCCATCGTGTTGGCACTGGCAGTTTCATTCACATTCAGGTAACCAGGCGAACATATTGAAAGCCCCTGCAAGTTATGACTATAGGTGGCTGTACCAACAGTTCATACACAGCTTTAGTTCAAGTAATAAATTCTTAAATGCTTCTTTGTATTGTTTGTACAGTTAAAATTCCTTTTCATAATAAGTACCTTGCCAGGTTTTTTGGGAACAGTTATAGAATTGTAATGAATCATGGTCAGTGTAGAAACAAGGACTTTTGCTTAGTTTCCACATTTCATAATGATGAGTATTCAAAAAAGCAAAAGATGTGTCAATAACACTTCGACTCTACATTATACTGATTGTTAATGAAGTAAATGGACTACTTTCCTTAAATACATAGTGGTAACAATGCCTTTCAGTTAATATCTTTAAAAAGTTTATTATAACATGACTATCACATGATTATCATATGGTTCCTCATGTTGGTAATTTGACTAATTTTAATTTATTTTAGCTTAAAGTACGAGAACATCCCAGTACTGGTCCATATGTGGAAGGATTATCAATGTATGTTGTCAACTCATTCGAGGATGTGGAAGGGTGGATAACTCTTGGTAACAAAAACAGAGCTACTGCAACCACAGGAATGAATGAAAGAAGTAGTAGATCACACTCTGTCTTTACATTAGTATTGACACAGACAAGGGTAGGTAGCTCTAGACATACAGTAGTAGATCAATCTCAGTCTTAGTTTTGACAGACAAGGATAAGTTATAACTATTTAGGATAGTATTTCCAGCTATGGCATATATGACTGAACAAAGTAGTAAAATCTCACTCTGTAGTTTACAATAATGTTGACCACACAATAGTAGGAAATTTGAATCACATCTGCCTTACGTAGGAATGAAAAAAGAACTATTTCATTCACCATGGTTTGGTTATGTTTTTGCGAAAAAATTTCACATGTGGGATTAAGCTGAGGGCTAGTTCATCATGTACATTAGAATGAATGTGGGTTGGTAGGAGAGGAAAACTTATTTTTGAACATGGTTCGTTGGTCATATATAGTGGTATGTCCATTTGATATATTCAAAATTCTTCAACGATAATGTTATGGTTGTTTGGGCATTTCCAACTCTTCAACATCAAGTTAATGTGGAATAGCTTAAATTGAAATGGACCATTTAACAATTTAAGGGTCTTCCATGGTTAACATGCTTAAATCATAAGGTGAGTTATAATTACCGTGAAGTGTAGGATTTAGATTCATAGAAAAATCTTTGAAAGAATTACCTTTATTTGTGTTTAATTGCACAAAGTTACAAATCAGTGTACAAAAGGAATTGAAATATCACAAGTTTCATAGGGTCATGAGTATTTTTGCATAACACAATCCACAAACACAAAACAATAAGGGATACCATATTGAAATGTATTTTTTTATCTAAATATTAAAGCTGGTAAAAGTACTTATTACAAATAAAAAAGCTTGATAACATTTCAACTATTATTTTAGACTGATGAAGTAGGAAGCCAGAAGAACGATCCTCGGAGAATCACCAGTAAGATCAACTTAGTTGATTTAGCAGGAAGTGAACGTCAGTCACAGGCAAAGACAGAAGGAGACAGACTAAGGGAGGCAACTAATATCAACAAATCTTTGACTACACTGGGAATGGTCATCTCCTCTTTGTCCAAAAAATCCACGTCAGGAAAGAAGAAATTCTTCATACCATACAGGGATTCAGTTCTCACTTGGTAAGACATTGAAGAATGCAGTTATCAAAACTGTTAAATTTATAGATCATACAGATCAATTCATTATTAAATGAACAATTATCTAAAACTTTCCATAGTATAGACATCACTTGTGTTGAAGATACAATATAATAGAAATGGTTGGATCTAATTTGAATCAGTTCCAATTCAACTGAATTTGTATAATTACCTGACCCCCCTCCCCTCCTTTTGAATGACCATCGTCAGGTATCAAAAAGTAAAAAATGAAAGCAAGACAATGCCCAAACAGAACAGCCACATATTTCTAAGGTCAACAAATGACCTGAATACATAAAATAAAACAGAACTCTCCAAAACCAAATCTGGGATGTCTTTTGAATATACATTCTGATGTTTTTCATTTCTTTTTTTCAGGTTGTTGAAGGAAAGCATAGGTGGGAATTCAAAAACTGCCATGTTAGCTACTATTAGTCCAACTAACTACCACAAAGAAGAAACACTTAGTACTCTCAGATATCCTTTTATTTACATGTGTACTATTCCAATGGTTTATGTCTGGTAACTGAAGAATTTTTTTAGGGGTTTTCTTGCTTGCACAAAATTATACATGCTTATATTTACAATTTACAATTTTTTTTAGGGGTTTTCTTGCTTGCACAAAATTATACATACTTGTTTTTACAATTTGATATGTGTTATAAAATTTAAATGAAGTTTTGATTTCTAATTTAATGAATAACTGCAGTCATGAAATATTTAAAATTTTTTTTTAATATATTGGAAGTGAATAAGTTCTAACAAAATGTTTAGAAATCTTAAAATGTACTTATTTACTTGTTTGTCTTAATTATGATCTTTATGTATATACAAAAGATAATGATTATAATCTGATCAATAAGCCAACCTGTCTTTGCTTTTACTATTAAATACTGTATGCTTGTCAACAAAGCTTCATATACAATTTGAAAGCCCTCTGTTTAACAAACAGAGATTCTGTTTTGCAATACAAGCATGTTACCCTGAGATCACCTAGGTCCAGGTGGTTTGAAATCAGGAAATATTGAATAGTATTTAAAGTAGTATGGTATTATTATAAAGGTTTATTCCTTAACTGTTTATACGTATGCTAAGATAGCTAGTAGTATCGTGAATACTGCTAGAGTGAATGAAGATCCTACTACAAAGCTAATCAAAGGTAAGCCTTGTATATTTGCTAAAAGAAAAAGTTGAGGATTTTATTCCCCAGCCACATAGTGTTACCCATGTGTTTCCTTCCTTCATTCCATCATTCTGTTACTCATGTTCTTCCTTCATTCCATCGTTTTGAAAATAATCAGTTGTACTGACTTTTTAAGTTTTGCCTGCAGATATTAATCTGATTTTTTTGTGCATTAGTGTTAAATGATGACTCACAGATTGAGTTTGAAATTTGTTTTGGGTTGACCAACTTGTAGTGATAAAGCTATAGGCCTTCGTGTCTTTGAGACAAAGTTTTTTAGTTGGAAAGTCAGTACTTCTTTATCCTATAGAATTACACTGATGGAAATAGGTCACTAGAATTTGACCTTAAGTTTGTCTTATTTAAATCTTAGTTGTAACTGTTTTTAAATAACACAAATTAATAGGATTACCTACTTGGTCAAGTAAGGAAACAAAAGAAAATGAATTTATTGTTGACTTTTAAATTTGACCGCAGAATTGTTTAATTATATTATATATACTAACATAGTAGAAGAGAAGTTTAACTGTTTAATTTTGAGTTTAATCAGTGTTGTCCTCTTCAAGTTCAGATGAGTTGAGGCTGTTACATTTATCACACAGTCATTATAACTAGTAGAAGTCAATGACAACACCTTTAAAATGTTTTTAAAGATGATTATGTAAATGATGAACATATAATTACAGAACTACGTGCAGAGATTGACAGATTAAAAATAAGTGACAGATGGAATAGAGATGAACAACAGTCAGCTACACAGACAGAAATTGATGAACTGAGAGAAAAATGTGTGGCTAAAGAGAAAGAGATTGAAGAAATGAAACAGTTAGTATTTACTGAATATGTTGTTTAATGTTGTTAATTTTCATGTTTATTTATTAACCAAGTTACATATGTTGAAGTGTCACAGTTAAAGATATAGCCAGACTTTGAACTTAGCATATTGTAGTACCATCAGAAAAATGGAAACATTTATAGTTTTTTATGTATCGATATCAATATAGATTAAGATTGCTTTTGTAATGTTATTTTAATTGGCAATTATTTAGTACCTAGTGGAGTCCAGTGTCTTAAGGCAGTTTCATCTGTATTATTAGAAATACAGATTTTACCTCTTGCATTCATGGATTGAGTATAAATGTTGTTTAAATCCTCCACATTTACAATAGTACAGTTTCAATATTTTATTCTGTTGATTTGTCACTTAAAGTTATTTAGAATTTATGTGCCCAATATAAAGGTCAATTCCAACACAGGTTTTCTTTTCCCATTAAATGTAATGTTAATTTTCCCTATGGTAACAATCAAACTGTTCTCTTGTCAACATTTATTTTCAATATAGTATTTTTGCAGATCATGGGAGTTAAAATTGCAACAGTCTGAAGAGAGAAAAGCTCAAGAAAATAAAAACCTAGAGGTAACCATTATATGTCCACATAATTTACAATTTATAAATATTTGGTTGATTTTGTTGATTTCCTTAGTTGTTCATAGATGTGTTGGTTGCAAAGTAATTATTTCGTCTCTTCGACAGTTGTTGACAGCTTGAAGCTAAATTGTTATTTACTATATTCTTATAAGGTCTTATCTGGAATTCCTAGATAAAGTTTCTTTTCCTACTGTGACTTACATAAAACTAATAGATCTTCTGTGCAATTTATCAAAATTACAGCTTTCACAATTTGATCTTTTCAACTACTCCTTATTTAAAAATCAATGCATATGAGTTTTAAAGTTATATTTTTAGAAAAAGATATATTAATCCTCATTTTTATGATTTCATTTCCACTGATAAAAACAAGTGAACATATTAATACAAAACCGCATCTTTGAAAAATGACAATTTTTACATTTTAAAGAACTAATTATTTGGTTGTAGAAATCAGGAATCACCTGTAAAGTAGACAACAAGATGCCAAACTTAGTGAACCTGAATGAAGACCCTCAGCTGTCTGAGATGTTGTTGTATGTGATCAAAGAAGGACAGACTAGAGTCGGCAGAATGTGTGACAACTCTAAACATGAAATACAACTAAATGGAGCATTGATAGCAGAAAACCATTGGTAAGACTTTTTAAAATTTGTATTGTTGTGTTATAAGTTCCAATCATCATTGTTACATCAGTTTTCACAAAAAACTTTGCTGGACAGGTGCTTGGCTTAAAGGCTTTGATGTGACCTGATGGGCATGCTGGAACATGTACAGCCAATGTTATGCCAACCATGCCTATAAGTGAATATCTCATGGGGAAAGAAATTGGGACTTCAAGTTGTGTGGTGGTGGACACTCAAACTGTTGATGGCTGAGATCCATGTAGTTGGGTGCAAACAAGTTGACCAACCTGAATATGGAGGAAAATGTTAATAATGCAGGAACTTTTAAAAATGAAACTGAGTTAAGAAGAATTACTGAAAATCAGATTCAATTTCAACACTCAAAAATGTGAAGCTGTTAACAGAGCACTTAGTCATGTTAGTGTTTCTTTACCAAAGAATGTGAAATTTTCCTGAAATTTTGAAGGGTGACGACCATCAGCAATTATTCACACGTTAAATAATGAGATAGCTGAATCCTGGAGACAGAAATCAGACTGTATTGGTTTTATAATCTCCAAAGGATCAAGGAATCACTTGGACCAGATTCAAAGGGAGTGTGAACTGAACAAAATATACCAAAATACTCCAGAAAGGAAAAAGAAAAATTTGCAACACACAGGACAGAAAATTAAAGATCATGTGAAAGAAAAGGAACAAATGTGGCAGGTCAAAAAAGCCTTTCAAAATACAGAAAACCCAGTTTGCTGTCACTTTGACAGCTCATTCCTTGTTAAGTGTACAATTTGTTCATTCGTTATATCCCTTATCTGCTTAAGTTCATATTTGATAATATGGTGATGAAAGGGACTACATAATGTAATTTGTTTTTGACATTTGTAGTATTATCAACAACTTAGAGAATGTGATCAGTATAACACCAATCGATGATGCTCCTACGTATGTCAATGGCAACCTTATATCAGAACCAGTCATCCTACAACATGTAAGTTCTCACTGATAACATGTGTACCAATTTGGCTTTTTCTCCAGGGAATATGGACATGTCTAATGTACAAATAAATTAAGGTTATACACTTTAAATGAAAATTTAGATGAAAAGCAATAATTTTGAAAACTATCTTAGCAAGAACACTCAGACTTGAGGGGAATTAATTTAATTTTTACAGATTGAATTTAAAGCAAAAGTTTTCTGTGAATTATGGACAAAAAAGAAAGAAAAAAACTCAACAAACATCAGAATATTATTTACCTGTATTTATACAACAATCCATCATTGTACATCATATTCTACAAATGTTTAACAATAGGACAAAAATCATACAAGTGTTTGTTTATTTTTGGTCAATTCTAACATCTGGAAATCTGATAAATATAATGCATTGTCAGTTAAAGCGTTCTCTTTCACCTCAGCAAGATTGATTTCAATACTTAAAAAAGTGTTAAAGTAGCTTTAGGTAGAATTACAATTAAATTGACTAATTCCAAGAATTGTTTTTGAAAAAGACTGGTATGAGTTTGTGTAAGAACTACTTTTCATGCTTCTTTAGTTATTTAGTTTGAAGTTTAAAAAAAAGACATAGTTGTTATATGTGTAAGAAATGAACTTAAACAGTATTTAAAAAAAATAACTATGATTTTGTTGCCTATTCTTTTCCAGGGTGACAGAGTTATTTTGGGCGGAGACCATTATTTCAGGTAAAAATTTTAACAACCATTCATCATATATGAGACAACATTTTTAATATTTTACATTGATGTAGTATTTCATCAGATACCTGTTTTAACCTAAATTTTGCTGTGTAAACTCACTACTTTTTAAGACTGCCACTATGAACATAGAATAGATATGTAATATACATAATATATGTAAATATGAAAGAACTGTGATTGTGGCTGTTAACAGTACTTAACATTAGGACATAATGTACCATTGTCTGGTGGCATGTTTTATAATCACACAAAAAATAAGGAATTGTTTTTTAATAAGAGTAGCAGCAGACAAATATTGAAATGTTTTTTTTTTAATTTCCTGACCTAGTGCATTTATTTAAACAGAATAAATTAATAACAGGCATATTTTCAATGTAAAACCAATAAAGTAGTCCATTTAATAATATGTTGAAATAGAACATTTCTGTAATATGAAGATTAACAGTTGTTCTCTTTTTAAACTCTGTGAGGTCTATTATTTTTTTTTTATAGAATTCAGCTATCTTTTGTTTTTTTTTGGTAATACATAACAAAGTTCACTCCTTACTACTCAAAAATTGAGAAGTGAAGTAATCTGATTCATCTTTTGAGTAAGTCTGGTTGTCTCCCTTGTTACATATAATCTTATAGCCTATGATGCCAAGTCAATGCCACTACTTACCATGAAAGGAGTCAGAAACAGATGCACACACTTGAAATGATTAAACATTACATGTTTATCCCTTCAGATTTAACCATCCTAAGCAAGTGAGGAATAAGAACCAAACATCTGGACAGGAGGTGAAAAAAGACTTTGAGTTTGCCAAACAGGAACTTCTCAATGTTCAGGAACAGAGGTTTGTTCATCACATTGTCTTCATATATACTGTTACTTACTTCTAAACAAGACCTTTGAATATCAAGAAAATATGTTAAATTCTGAATGTGCTGTGTGAACCAAATTTTTCTATAATAAATCTTATTGAGATGATTTTATTCCTTTATAATTTATGAAGCTAACAGAGAAAGCCAACCATGACTCACATTTGTAATGATGCTATCAATACATTTTTTGTGACCTGTTCTTCTGAAATCCCATTAGAAATTTCTCAACTGCATCATTTCCTAGTATCAGATTTTCTCTCTTTTTTTATTCTGCTTCTTAAAAATTCATGTGTTTGCCTAAAAATCAATACTGTAAGTTCAGAAATAATTGCTATATTTATATTAATGTGAAAAATGTGACAGTATCAGGTTCGCAGTAATAAAAAATCGCAGTTATAACCAGTACTGGTTTTCCTTCTCCAACTTCTTCCAATCGCATTAATTAAATCTTGCACTTTTACTAGTAATCAGTGATTTGCAAAAATAAATGCTTGCATTAATTTCCCTTGTACAATTATTGTTGGCAAGGAATATTTGCTAACATGAAGGTTAAGTAATCATCCTACTATCAGGAAATATTGGTCACTAATCTGATAAATACTTGTAGACTGCAGTCAGAGTTGGAGGAAGCAAGGAGACAAGCCCAGGAAGAAATGTTGGTCAAAGTGGAGGAAGTCAAGAAAGAGGCAATGAAAGAACAAAGAGCTGTTGAAAACAAACTAGCAGAATGTGAAAAATTATTGGTAAGGAAATGACAGAGTAATTTGTATGGAGAGAAATAAACAAAGTAAACAACATGAAAATTACAAAATTTCATTTTTCTTTCATTAAAATTAAATACTTATATGATATATGAAGTTCTACCATGATGTCAAGTTTCCAATTTTAATAGAGAAGGAGTTAAAAAATTTAATCGGGTAAAAATATTGAAGGATAATTCATATCTGCATTGCTTGCAATTTATTATTTCTTAAAAATGTGTAAACTATGATTATGAATTAGTTATCAAATAAAAAGCTTGCATAGAAACAAAAATTTAGAAGAAGAAAAGAAAATCTTATTGATGTGAAGAACTGAACTACATATGTAATCTTTTTATTTTGTAGAGAAATCAGTCAGAGGAAGTACAAATGGCTGAACAAGGGCGACTTGAAGCAGACGACACTATTCAAAAATTGAAGAAACAGAAAATGGTATTCATTTAATAAACTGCTTTGAAGATGAAATTAAAAGATTTCAGTGTCTACTATCTCAGATTACTTAAATTGACATTAACAATGATTTATAATAAAATATTTTAAAACATGTTTAATATTTAATATGTATTAGCTATTTTAAGTTATGATTTGTTTATTACTACAGTAAATATAGTAAAGCGTTTTCTTTATAAGCTCTTTTGAAAAAATATTTATACTAAAATAAAACAAAATGTGTGAAGTGAAAATAAGATAACCAAAATTTTCTGAAAATATGTGCATATTTATCTAAAAAAGGAAAGTTTATTACTGAAAGTTAAAATTTTGTTGATGTGATGGTCAAGGCATCTTTATTTGTGATTGGTTGGGAAACATACTAAAGTAATTGATTTGTTTTATAGTTACTGGAACAAGAATTAATGGTTGGACGTAAGAGACAACAGTTAGAGGCCAGGGCAGCAGAGAGGGTAGGTTGTTACGGTATATATAATCTGTACAAAACAACATGGTAGATGTTCTGATCCTCATTGTATGAATAGAAAATAAGGAGATGTGGTATGATTGCCAATGAGAAAACCATCCAACAGGGTTAAAAAAATGATTTAAGCAATTATAGGTCACCCTACTGCTGTCAACAATAAGCAAAACCCATACCGTCAGTTGTAAAAGACCATGACATGACAAAATTTGAAACAATTCAAACAAAAAAAACTGCCTGATTTATGTACAAATGGATAAACTAAGATGTTATACACTCATCCATTTCTACTATTTATTTGATTTAACTTTAATACTTCAAGCAGCTGGTTCACTTATACGTAGTATATTATCTACATTGCAGTTTCAGTATCTGAAAATGAAAGAAGGAAATATGTATAAGTACAAAAATAAAGTACTTAAATATGCAGATATAAGAAAAATATATTGTTCTTTTATCTGGATTCTAATATGTTGAAAACAATTATATATTTGTTGATTTTATCACAGGCTCAGCTAAGTCCACCTTCTTCTAAGGGCTCAAGATTGAAAGAGTTTTTAGAGACTGAGAAACAGAAAGTTACCCAGAGATTGGAACAACTTAAACAGAAACGATCAGACATATCATCACCTACCAGACGTAACGCCATGATGGAAAATCAGCTCGGTAAACGTGACTTGTATAAGATTGCCTTGTCACTGAGGGAAGCTAATAAGATTAGTCAGTTACTGAAGAAAAATATGGTAAGTATCTGTTCCCATGGTAGCTTGGTAAATGTGACTTGTATAAGATTGCCTTGTCACTGAGGGAAGCTAATAAGGTCAGTCAGTTACTCAAGAAAATATGGTAAGAGTCTGTTACCATGGTAGCTATGTAAGCAGAACTTTCTGTACACATGATTGCATAATCAGTCTGAGAAACCATACAAATCAAACTGATTAAAGCACAACATTGAAAGTTCTGCTGAAAATTCTTTTAGGTCAATCTGAACACCAGTGGCAATACAGTTAACAGAGAGAAACAATGCACACAAGTTTTTCATGCTAAAAAGTTATTTATTTCTTCATTAAGGTGGTACATAACACTACAGGGAGATAACTCTGTAAAAATCAGCTGAACGTTTTAATCACGTTCTATTGTTAAGGAAATATTAAGCTTCTCAATGATCAAAATCAGTGTTTGTCAAACTGCTATATATCCAATGAAATTTTTCCGACAAAGTATGTGGTTCAAGTTGTTTGAAATTTTTATATTTTTGTCAAAGGGTCAAAGATAATATTTTGTCCAAATTTTATGAAAATTGAACTAGCCAAATTAATTTTGGTCAAGGTGTTTGGTACCACCTTATTTTATTGTTTTTATATTATACCGAATTTTGAAAGGATATATTAAATATTTTTAAGGAAGATAATAAAAAATATAGGACTTTTTTTGTGCCTAATGATTACCAACGTAGGACATCAAAATTGTTTTGGCAGTATGCAACAACATCTGTTACTTGTTAATGGACAATTGTTTTATTTAAAAAATCTTTTACTTTTTTGCAGTGGAAAACTTTGCATTTTTCATGCTTCTTTTTAATATTATTGTAAACCATAGTTTACTTTGTAAAGATTTGTAAAGTTTTTCTGTTTATTGTAGACTTTCAGCAGAGAAGATTATTTAGAAGATGACAAGTTAGCAACAGCTATCAAAGTAACCAACACAGAATTAGGACTGTGTACATTCTGGGATGTTCCAAAGTTTGAAGACAGATTAGCTCAGATGAGAGATTTGTATCAGGTTGGTAACATTTGTGATAAGTCAAATGATTTATTCAACACAAGAAGTCCTGGGATTGTTATAAGTTTGGTCAAGAATTGTGTATGGCATAGAAAATTTTATTGTTTACTGGAAATAAGAGGATATTATATTGAAACACTTTGTTGAATTATGGCTGATATATGTAAATGTTATGATTACAGAATGATTGTGAAAGTTCAGCCGATGATGAAGTATTTAATGATCCAAGTGAGTCATGGCTACCAGAGGCACCAACTACACCAAGTACACCGAGATCTCCCCTTGGGTTAGTTTATATGTCAGATATATAATCACATGTTGAAAGAAGGAAAGCATCAAATCACTTGTTCATCAAACACATTGCACAACTAATTTCAGATGGAATTCAAAGGAAAAACACCAACAAAATTGCTTTAATTGTTGGCTCCTGGACTTTCAAAATTGCTTACTACACTTAATCATAGGATTATTGTTTCACATTAAATGAGATCTTGATTAAGCTGATATAGATGAGTTAACAGTACTTGTTCAGAATATGAAAAAACAAAGAAAATAAAATTTCTTCTTTTTCTCTTTCTTTTTCTCAAAAATACCTGATTTTTTTATAAAGCTCCTTCTTGAATCAAGAAGTTATAAATCCTTGGCTTTTAAATTTTTACGATTTTAGTATTTCTGATGAATGTAAATAAAAAAAAAGCTCTTTGGATGCACCAAATTTATTAAGTGTTATTAAGTGTTTAATATATATTTACAGGAACAGCTTTAACAAATCTCCCTTTAGACAGTTTTTATTATCAGGAAATAGTTCAGTTACAAGTCCTAGAAGTTATAAAGGTATGTTATAAGTCTTTTTTTTTTATGAATGTTTAAACTTGATATACAGCAGTGGAGGGGCATTAGGTTTTATAGTCTTTCTGTCTGTTACAGAATCAGGTTTAAGTTTGGATTTAAGGAAGTTTGTGATCACATCAACTTAGTACACATGTTCATTATGAAGTGAACTTATTTTTAATATATGCCCACTTAGGGTAATGACCTGGATTTCAGAGTTCACTGAATTTGATGAAATGCGATCGTGCAACAGAGCATCTTGTTTAGAGATGAAATGGTCATGGTAAACAAATTAATTGTCATGGCAATCAGTTTATGCAAACTAACACACTGACTAATGATATCATATATGTCTGATCAGATGAATGAACTAGGATTAACACACTGACTAATGATATCATATATGTCTGATCAGATGAATGAACCAGGGTTAACACATCGACTAATGCATGAGGTTCCCTTAGCTCATTTATTACAGGAGAACAATTACATGAAGGATTTTTGTGAATTAAAAACAAATAGAAGTAAAAAAATTGAAATACCATAGTTGTGCTTTGTAAATTGGTTGTTGATAAATTGCTATATTCACTGTTGATTCTATTCAAACATACAGAAGATAATTGTAACACTATTTATCATATGATTTCAGATGACAACTGCTCCTGTCCAAGTCATTTAACAGGAACAGCACTCGCTAAAATGTGTGAGAGTGTTACGTTGACATTTGTAGAGAACATCCAAGGTAAGAACTTTATTGTTTAAGAGGGTTCAGAGATGAAATATACGAAAACACAATGTTACAAAACGCCAGGTCAAATCAGTCAACTTTCAGATAAACTGAAATAAGAGATTTGTTTAAATGTTCCAATATATGATAGTGTTTTATATGAATGTATATAGAGATAATAAAAACCTTCCCACAGTTTTTGTTATCATCTTTGTTACAAATATCCATAAAAGGAGATGTGGGTTATACATATATGAGACAGCAACCCATTATCACAACATGCCCAAAATATTGGTAAAGGTTCAAGCAGTCTGATTTACAATGATTGCATAATTTTTAAAAACATTTTAATGAGTCTGTATTGTGAAAATTTATCCTTGCAATCTTTTGAGAATAGAATCAAATGAATTTCTGATAAGTATTCAAGTGCTTACCCTTTGTTAAATTGAAAACAAGTATTCTATTTGATGAATTTGTATATACATAATCTATAAAAATATATTCATTTCAGATGGTTATCTTGAAGAGAGTATGGCAGATAAAATAGTTAAGTGTTCCCAAGCGATAAAAAAAGCAGTAGTATATCTGATAGACTCAAATTCTTCACAAGATAAAGGTAATAATGTTTGATGAAAAATAATTCTGTGTGGTCCGCATATAAGTATGTTATTTATAAAATGCACATTTAAAACTTAACATTTTTCTGTCAGAGTTATCTTTCTTTGTTCCATGTGATGTACAACAAACAGTAAAATTTCTCCACTCATTATAGTCTTACTTTAAGATGTTCAATATGTGAGATTTTAGAAATATTATCAAAAGAATATGGGGAACATGTATACCTCCATGAGAAAACAATCCAAAGACAAAAAATAACTAAAAGATAACTAGAAACAGATAATTACTAAACTTACGCTTTATGGGTTTCCCAGTCATTCATGATGTAATATGAGTATGTCGTCACTTTTCATTAATTTATTATGCATTTCCAGAATCAGAAACAAATGACGAAGAAACTCAGTGCTGTTTACTGAAGCTTGCTACAAATATACAGACACTAAGTTCTCATTGTACAGTCTGGGCAAACATGTATGTTAAGGAACAGAGACACTCAAGGGTCATTCAGGATCTCACAACAAAGTTAAAGGAGCATGTCAAGGTTATGGGCAATCATGTGGTTAGGTTCTTCCAAGGATGGGGAAATGATATAGACAGTTTGATTTGTGACTCTGGATCAAAGATTGTGGATTGTGTTCTAACAGTGTGTAAATTAACTGGTGAAATGTCCTTGGCAACAGATATGAACATCATATCATTTGAGCAACTGAATTGTGAGGAAGCAGATAAAAATGAGGTTTGTTTTGTTGAATGTAATTTACTTGAGTGTAAGAGTGTAAATTTTTGATTTGGTAAAAAAAAGGAAACAAAAAAAGAAATGCCTTAATCAATGACTCTCTATCACTTGAATGTTGTTTTTCATCAGTGCTCACTGAGCTAGTAGATTCTTAATTAAGATAGATTGGCTATACTATAATTTATTTATTTACCATGTTAACTGTTTATTTAGAGACTAATCCATCCAAACCTTTAATTGAAGTTTATTAGCTCACCTGGCCCGAAGGGCCAAGTGAGCTTTTCTCATCACTTGGCGTCCGTCGTCCGTCGTCCGGCGTCGTCCGTCGTCGGCGTAAACTTTTTACATTTTGAACTTCTTCTAGAGAACCACTGAATGGAATGAAACCAAACATGGCATGAATGTTCCTTATGAGGTGCTGACCAAGTGTTGTTACTTTGTAGCGGATCCATCATCCAAGATGGCCGCCAGCGGGGGACTTAGTTTAACATAGGACCCTATGGGAAAAACATACAAATGTCTTCTTTTAGAGAACCACAGAATAGAATGAAACCAAACATGGCATGAATGTTTCTTATGAGGTGCTGACCGAGTGTTGTTACTTTGAAGCCGATCCATAATCCAAGATGGCCGCCAGCGGGGGACTTAGTTTAACATAGGACCCTATGGGAAATACATACAAATGTCTTCTTTTAGAGAACCACTGAATGGAATGAAACCAAACATGGCATGAATGTTCCTTATGAGGTGCTGACCGAGTGTTGTTACTTTGAAGCTGATCCATAATCCAAGATGGCCGCCAGCGGGGGACTTAGTTTAACATGGGACCCTATGGGAAATACATACAAATGTCTTCTTTTAGAGAACCACTGAATGGAATGAAACCAAACATGGCATGAATGTTCCTTATGAGGTGCTGACCAAGTGTTGTTACTATGAAGCTGATCCATAATCCAAGATGGCCACCAGCAGGGGACTTAGTTTAACATTGGACCCTATGGGAAATACATACAAATGTCTTCTTTTAGAGAACCACTGAATGGAATGAAACCAAACATGGCATGAATGTTTCTTATGAGGTGCTGACCGAGTGTTGTTACTTTGAAGCCGATCCATAATCCAAGATGGCCGCCAGCGGGGGACTTAGTTTAACATAGGACCCTATGGGAAATACATACAAATGTCTTCTTTTAGAGAACCACTGAATGGAATGAAACCAAACATGGCATGAATGTTCCTTATGAGGTGCTGACCAAGTGTTGTTACTATGAAGCTGATCCATAATCCAAGATGGCCGCCAGCAGGGGACTTAGTTTAACATTTGACCCTATGGGAAATACATACAAATGTCTTCTTTTAGAGAACCACTGAATGGAATGAAACCAAACATGACATGAATGTTTCTTATGAGGTGCTGACCGAGTGTTGTTACTTTGAAGCCGATCCATAATCCAAGATGGCCGCCAGCGGGGGACTTAGTTTAACATTGGACCCTATGGGAAATACATACAAATGTCTTCTTTTAGAGAACCACTGAATGGAATGAAACCAAACATGGCATGAATGTTCCTTATGAGGTGCTGACCGAGTGTTGTTACTTTGAAGCTGATCCATAATCCAAGATGGCCGCCAGCGGGGGACTTAGTTTAACATGGGACCCTATGGGAAATACATACAAATGTCTTCTTTTAGAGAACCACTGCATGGAATGAAACCAAACATGGCATGAATGTTCCTTATGAGGTGCTGACCAAGTGTTGTTACTATGAAGCTGATCCATAATCCAAGATGGCCGCCAGCAGGGGACTTAGTTTAACATTGGACCCTATGGGAAATACATACAAATGTCTTCTTTTAGAGAACCACTGAATGGAATGAAACCAAACATGGCATGAATGTTTCTTATGAGGTGCTGACCGAGTGTTGTTACTTTGAAGCCGATCCATAATCCAAGATGGCCGCCTGCAGGGGACTTAGTTTAACATGGGACCCTATGAGAAATACATACAAATGTCTTCTTTTAGAGAACCACTGAATGGAATGAAACCAAACATGGCATGAATGTTCCTTATGAGGTGCTGACCGAGTGTTGTTACATTGAAGCTGATCCATAATCCAAGATGGCCGCCAACAGGGGACTTAGTTTAACATTGGACCCTATGGGAAATACATACAAACGTCTTCTTTTAGAGAACCACTGAATGGAATGAAACCAAACATGGCAAGAATGTTCCTTATGAGGTGCTGACCAAGTGTTGTTACTTTGAAGCTGATCCATCATCCAAGATGGCAGCCAGCGGGGGACTTAGTGTAACATAGGACCCTATGAGAAATACATACAAATGTCTTCTTTTAGAGAACCACTGAATGCAATGAAACCAAACATGGCATGAATGTTCCTTATGAGGTGCTGACCAAGTGTTGTTACTATGAAGCCGATCCATAATCTAAGATGGCCGCCAGATGGGGACAATGTTTAACAAAGGACCCTATGGACAATACATACAAATGTCTTCTTTTAGAGAACCACATACTGAATGGATTGAAACCAAACATGGCATGAATGTTCCTTATGAGGTGCCGACTAAGTTTTGTTACTTTGAAGCTGATCCTTCATCCATGATGGCCGCCAATGGGGGGACTTCCTTAAACATAAGACCCTATGGGAAATACATACAAATGCACTGAATGGAATGAAACCAAAACATGGCATAAATGTTTCTTATGAGGTGCTGATTAAGTGTTGCTACTTTGTTGCTGATTTACTGTTCAAGATGGCCACCAGGATTTTTTTATTAAATTACAGGACCAATATTGAACCAAATTTGGCCTCACTCATTATTAGGGTATCTGTTATGATTTTAATCTATTTTTACATGATTTCCAAAACCAAAGTAGAATCAGGTGAGCGACACAGGCTCTTGAGAGCCTCTAGTTAATTTTAATGTAAATAAGACCTGTTGAAATACATTTTATCATTTTAGTTTAAATTTATAACTGAAAAATGGAATAGATTATGATTTCTACGACAAAAAAAAATAAAAGGTCTGCCTCGAAAAACGATTAATTGAAAATTATATATATCCTGTTTTATTGGCTATCTATTTGAAACTATATTACTAAAGTGCCAAAAAGAAATATTTGAAGAAAAAAATCTTAATCATCAGATTGAAAAGATGTTTTTGATGTTTTTTGTAACTTTATTTTATATATGTTTTTTTCATTCCATGTTATTTGTTAATTGCATAACTAACATTCTTTATAGTAAAAATTTAATTTCCCTACATTTCAGTTGAGTCCTGATGTTTGTCACGCTTTTTTGGCCGGTTGTGATTTGTTGGTTGACAAAAGTTTACAAGGTCCAATCAAAACATTAGAAGAATGGGAATGTAAAGCACAAAATCTAGCAGATCTATCCAATAATAATCTAGTAAGTTGTCACATGATCTATCCAATTATTATCTAGGAAGTTGTCACATGATCCAATAATAGGGTTGTTCGATGGAGGCTTCAATTTTTCGGGGTTATTCACCGGGGAATAATAGGATTGTTCGATGAGGCTTCAATTTGATGGGGTTATTCATCGCTCCTGCCAATTTTTGGAAAAACATCGAAATTAAACTATGACACGTGATTCCGTATTAGCCAATCAATTAATTACTATATAATGTAAGGTATAATAATCTAGTAAGTTGTCACATGATCTGTTCAATAACAATCTTCGTAAGTTGTTACATTACTGTGTTTCAACAAACCAGTTGCATGACCTTTCTTCTTGGTAAAACGGTTCAAAAATTTCTCCAAGCACTCAACCTTTTAGCAGTTTCAGAAAAAATCTTATTAAATATGATAAAAACAACGGCAGATTTGGTAGGCCAATTTGTGTTATTTGCATTTTTCAAGCGAATATAAGGCCTGTGAACTCATATCTATTTTTGATATTTCGAAAGTATTTATGGAAAGCAATTCTCTTGTTGAATTTTAACCTTCTTTATTGTTTGGTGTTTCCTCAATAAGGAAAAATAAATGCCCCCTATATAACCCATGCATATAAAATAACTGTGATTTCCTTAATTTCGGTGTATTTTTATGAAAAAAACCAGATCTGTGACCCCCAGTTTTTATATTGAAATTTGTAAAAACATTAAGGGCTGTTCCATTAAAACATACATTGTACCCAGGGAAGGCACTTTAAAAAATGGGGTAACACCCTATAGAGGCAAATTAAAATTTCACTTACATTTCCACTATGCAAAAACATAGATGACACCCACCCATAGTTGACATTTGAAAGTGCCTTCCCTTGGTCCCATGTATGTTTTTATGGAACAGCCCTAACCAAGAAGTCTTTTACAAAAGTTTGAGAAAAATCTATCGTCAAACATTTAGACACCCCAGCTACCATAATAGGATTGAAACTTGCATTTGCACTGAACCAATTTATATCTTGGTGGATGATGGGAGTCACCCATTCTGATTGGCTACTCAAAATATAACTAACAAATGTACTGTACAAATTACTTATGTGGAGAGTCTGAAAAGACATCTGTAAGGGGTTGGATATTTCAGAAAGTATCAAGTGGAATAATTTGATTAAGATATGTCAGTGTCGGGGCGAGAGAAATGCTTTCAAAGACCTCATAGAAAATTTTCAGAAACAGCCTGAATTTGAATCAATTGATTTCAAAAATTCTTCACACAAAGTTACCTTCTTCTTTCTGTAACATCCTCCTATGGTTAAGAGCACATCTATTTCTTGATTTTACAGTAGGCTTTTATTACAGGGATTAGATAGCTAAAATCACCTTGTAGTTTATACAATATAAAACGCACTTTCTTATGAAAAAAATTGGCTTATATTACACAGATGATATTAAAAGGTATTCACTTTGTAACCTTGCTGTACACTGAAATTTCTAATATTTCTAAAATGATAATGCTTCACTTTGTAGCGATAGTACAGTTTTGATTGAAGTACTAGTTGCACATAAAGCAGACAATTCATAGAGTCATTTAATGGACTTTTCTGTCATCATTGTGACTTGGATAGGGTATTGTAAAGGAGTAAGTTCACGAAGGGTTAAAATTGGCCCTAAGATTTTGATGTTTTTTAATCAGGCCAAAATACTACAAATTTCACATAGAAATAGTTGTGATATTACTATTAATACAAAGTAACTTCATTTTGGCACATCATATAAAAAATGACGAAGTATTGACTCCTGAAGTATGCATTATTTGTGTTGTAACGTCAGATTTGGTAAAATTTTCAAATATTCTTCACAGTTTTTAGCATAATTTTCTTTGGCCGCCACCCATGATCCAGAAATTTTGTGAGTCTAGGAATTCAATATCATCATTGGCAACTTTTGGGTACAGAACATTTTGGATTCTAGGTTGCGGCCAAGGGTTTCCTCAAGCTTTTAGGTCAGAAAAATACACAAAGTCATCTCATTTTGGCTATATATCCAAAATATGGTGATTTTGAAGCCAAGAATGTACTCTTTATCAAGTTATGAAGAGATTTAATTTAACAAGGAAGTAAGGCTTTTGGCCTAAAGTGAACCTTGTTCCTTTTGATTGTAGTTCTTAGTTTTATTGTCTCGCCTTGACGGAGTCAAAAAGCGAGACATATGTATGTTGTTTCTGACGGCGGCGTCAACAATGTATTAGTTTGTGATTAGGTCTTGTTCATGGTGAACCGCTAGTGCCTAGTGGTAGGTCAATGATATTTGGTATGCAGTTGTATTAGCATTGGCACATCTCATTACCATGGAGATTATTTGGCCCCGTCCCCTCAGTCAAGGTCTATTGACTTTGAAACTTTTCATAGTTTACATGTATTAGTTTGTGATTAGGTCAATTTATAGGGAACCACTAGTGGTAGGTCAATGATATTTGGTATGCAGTTGTATAAGCATTGGCATATCTCATTTTCATGGAGATTATTTGGCTCCGCCCCCTTAGTCATGGTCTGTAGACTTTGAAAATTTTGCTAAGTTAACATGTATTAGTTTGTGATTAGGTCAGTTCAAGGGGAACCATTAGTGGTAGGCCAATGTTAATTGGTGTTCAGTTGTATAAGCATTAGCACATCTCATTTCCATGGAGAATATTTGGCCCCGCCCCCTCAGTCATGGTCTATTTACTTTGAAACTTTGGCTTAGTTTACATGTATTAGTTTGTTTTTAGATCAGTTTAAGATGAACTGCTAATGTTAAGTCAATGATATTTGGTATGCAAATTTATTGGCATTTGCAAGTATCGTTTCCATGGAGATTATATAGCCCCACCCCTGATCATGGTTCATTGACTTGGAAACTTTTACATAGTTTACAAGTTAATGTTTGTTTTTATTTTTTTTTAAAGGGAATGACTTATAATAAATCAGAAGTATTTGGTATGCAGTTGTATTAGCATTGGCACATCTCATTCCATGGAGATTGTTTAGCCATGTACCTTCAGTCATGGTTCATCGACTTTGAATATTTGCATAACTTACATGTTAAAGTATTGCTATTTTAATTTCAACATTTGCATTATCAAAATTACAAAAAGGCGAGACATATCTCTGTGATAACAGTTTATTTCATCTGTATAGAGGTCTCTTTTACTTAGAACATGTATAGAAGCATCCTCCGTTTTCATGGTTTATGAGACAACATAATACTTTTGTCATTTTCATGTTTATTTAATTTGATGTTGTTTTTTTTCAGTCTCTGGGAGAAATTCCACAACATATAGAAGAACTAGTGTCATCGATGAAGATATTATTTTCAACATGTCAAGAATTACAGGTACACTATCATATCACACTTTTAATGTCTTATGAACAATGTAAGAATTATTTTCCTGTTTCTAGAAATTTATTATCAAGATACCAGACCTACAGATATTTAATATGCAAACATTAACAGATTTGTTTAGAATTTTCACTGATAGGCAAAGTGTATTCAGACTTTGGCAAAAACCACAAAATCAAATATCTACAAAAATACAATTTTTCATCAATCTCTGAAAATTGGTATCCATGAAAATAAATGTATTCACAGTTTATACATAATATTAATACCAGAATCAACATAGTAGAATCTTAAAAATTTATTTGTTTCTCTACAGGTTGACATGGACACAAGTGTGAGAGAGAGTTATGGTGGCATTCCATTACAATTTTATTCTGTTAGTTACAAGCGATCACAAGGACTCATACACCACATTAGCAACCTTTGGGAAAATGTACAGATTTTACTAAATAGTGCTGAACCGTTAATTAAAGGTTTGTTTCTTCTCTATCAGGAATTTTGGTTAAAAATATGTGTTTCTAATCAGTTTTCACTGTCACTATTATCTGAGTTCTCCCTAAAAATTTCATATACCATCTTGGTAAATAGGAAAGGAGTAGGCCCGGTAAGACCCCTTTTTGGCCCCAAAATATAGCATTTTTACCAATTTGTTAAAAAGTAAACTTTTAGCTATTAATTGGAAAGAAGAATTCTTCTGTTCCATAAATATAGACTGTTTTTGACAATACAATGCACATGCATCAGGTAATAACATCATAAATTCATGCATTATTACTGAAATCTTCACAATTTTAGCATTTGTGCTAATTTTAAGACGGTTTTTGTCCAAAATGGAAGTGGCCGCATTTGTGTTCAGTCTTAATATTTGATGATAATACATAACATATATAAAGGTTGAGACTGAACAGGAATGTGGCCACTTTCATTTTAGACAAAAACCATCTGAAAGTGACGTTTTATGGCATATTTGATAGATTTTTCATAATTAAGCTTGTATTTGAGCATCTTTAATGACCATATCAGTCCAAATCTTTTGCATAAACTAATTTAATCAACTGAGGTAGACACTTCAGTGTTTAAAAAATGTCAAAAATCTTTCATTAGATGTACTTCGAATAATAGGGCAAAACTAGCCCTTACCGGACCTCCTTTGGAAATACCATCTTGTTTCTAGAAATTATAGCATCACATACTTAACATTGTCTATAAGAAAATCATTTCAAACTCAGACTTAAGACTCTGGTTCAGTTAGTTTTGGATATATTCTTAAAACCATACATTTCTTAAATTTGATAATGGTTTACACAACTCTAGATGAAATTAAGATTGTATTGACCTGTTTGAAAGGAAATTTATGATTGTGCACATTTTTTGTTGTAAGAACATGTACAGCTATGTGAGCTATATTTTGATAATGTTGGATGTACAATTTGACTGATGCAATAGAAGTGATGTAAAATTGACATGTCATTTGTGTTGTATATATCATGTATATGTTATGTTTTAAAAATTTATATGACACATATTTCTTTGATTGAAAAATTGATAACAGGTATTGCTAATTGATGAGAACCAATCTGTGACCAGTACCCATTATTAACTGTGTTAACTGAAATGGGTGTAAAACCTGTAATAGGAAATGTAAAGAAAATTAATTATATTTTACATTGTACATTGATTAAGCATCTTATTTCACAAATATGAGAAGTTTTTAAATAAATTTGATTTTAGAGCATATTGGGCTCGATACTCTTTTGTTTATTTGATGTCAGTAAGCAATTAATACTATAAATAAGGTGTGTAACCAAAGTCAATACAGTGTGTTCATTCTTAAATTTCAGGCCAAACAATAGACTGTAGAAAACTATGCCGATATTCAGATCTTATACAGAGAGACATCAGTAAATTAGTTCTAGTATCAAGTAAAGACAATTTTAAGTTGGATTCTTCCAGTTCAGACAGCGACTCTTCAGTGTTATCAGAATTACAAATGCAAAAGCTTGAATATGCAGCTAGAGATGTTCACCTTTCTGCAGGATCTTTAATCCAGAAAGCAGAAAAACTTTTACGAAATGACAAGATATCTGGAACACCTCGTGGGAAACGCTTGTTGCCTCCATCTCCTGATAAAGCAGTAAATTCTCCATTAAGTAATAAATTTAAGCTGGACACATGTAGCTGGGGATAAAAAAAAAAAACACATCATGACATTTTAATAATTCAGTGCTGGGGAAGTCAGTGCTTGAGATCATGTTCAAGAAGTCCGAAAAAGATACAAATATGCCTTGGCTTCAAAGATGGAGAAAGTAGAACTTGGTGCTTTTGATTGGATAGTTATTCCTACAAACATTGCTTTATTTAGATATGTATGCTTGAATATATTGTATCAGCTGCCAATGTGTACAGAATTATATTTAAACTGCTAGTACATGTATAATAGTATCATTCAACTAAATGGCATGGGGGAAATAATCAATATTTTGTGGTTAACTTTTTCTAGCTTTGGTAACTGGGCTTAAAAATGCTTTTTCAAAGGTATTAGAAACTAACGTTTTCAAAATTTTGTTCAGAAACAGCTGTAATAGGTAAATGTGGTTCTTTTTACCAAAATTCTTAGGATTAAAATTGATTATAAGTTACACTGTACTGTTCATGTCATACCAGGACATTTTTCTCATTAAGAACTTTTGTGAAAACAGTTGCAGGTCATTTTTTAGGATTAAGATAAAAAAAATGAAATTTGGTGTATTGAAATTCTTTGTTACTTTTATACTGTCTCAATATATACATGATATAGTAACCCTTATAGAAAGTTCAGTCTTATTGAAATATAGATCCTGTGTCCTTGCTTTGCTGACAGGATCTGAAACTTTCTGTTTTAAAGACCATTCGATATCCTCTGGTTCATCTTTATGATACTCACCTTCAAAAACTTGTGGTCTGAAAAATCATTGGCTGATCTAATAAGTACCAAACCATGACAGAAAGTAGAATGGATTGTTGTCAGATCCTTGTAAGTAAAGCATGGATACAGGATCTGTATTTTTATGAGATTGCAGAAAGATATGAAAAAAGTCGAGTAGAACAGTATAAGTATTGCAATAATGAAAACTTGTATGGTCCCTGTATCTTTTGTGCAATATTTACAGCTTGTGTTCATTTACTGATTGTATATAATTGTAGATATAAAACTTTATTTATCTTGTAAAACAATCATGTGTCAAATGCTTCAGAAGTATATATATTTATATGGAAGTAAAAAATAGTCAGCAAAACAAATTGTCTTTTTATTCCAATAATTACTCTTTTATCCTGGATAATTAGTCAGGAAAAATATAATGGCACATATTTTTGTTTCCTCATGCAAGTAAAAAGAATGTTTAGAATCCTGATTTCCTACATAGTAATTTTCCCACTGTGTAAATGTAAAAAATTCACATACAGAATATCCCTACAGACATTGCTTAATTTAGATATGTACACCTGAATATATTGTATCAGCTGTTATTGATTGTTCTTCACACAGAATATTCAAATCCAAAGAAAAATTTGGTCATCCATCTACACTTTGAACTTCTTTTAAATTGAGTTTTACTGTACATATTGCTGTGTGTTTGTTTATTTCACATTGGCTAGAGGTATAGGGGAGGGTTGAGATCTCACAAAACATGTTTAACCCTGCCACATTTTTGTGCCTTTCCTATGTCAGGAATCTCTAGCCTTTGTTAGTCTTGTATGTTTTTTAAATTTTTGTTCATTTGTAATTTTGGAGTTAAGGGTGGTGCCCATTTCACTGAATTAGTATACATTATTGTTTAGAGGCCAGCTGAAGTCTGCCTCAGGCTGCGGGATTTTCTAGCTGTGTTGACCCATTGATGGACTTGGGGTGTTTTCTGCTCTTTGATCGGGTTGTTGTCTCTTTGACACATTCCTCGTTTTCTGCTCTTTGATCGGGTTGTTGTCTCTTTGACACATTCCTCGTTTCCATTCTCTATTCTATTATAAAGTATTCCTCAAATCTTGCATTTATGTTGATCTTCAAGAAAGTGAAAATATTTTCTGAAGTGAAATGACATTCAATGACCTAGTTTATTATGTGTCCTATTGTCCACTTGACTTCAAATTGTGGATATAATCTATTTCTGAATAGAATGGTAATAATAAGTCATCTTTGAAATGTGCATTGCTATCAAATTGATACTATGCTAAAATTAGAGTTTTTTTAATTCTGATCACCTTACATGTATGAATGTACACTGTAGTTGGTAGACTTGTGTCCAGGCAAACTTGATTTTTTCTCTATAAAAATAAGATGTGGTATGAGTGCCATGAGAAAACTATTAACCAGAGACTAAGTTACATAGATGTAAGCAACATAGGTCATCATATGGCCTTCAACAATGAGACCATACTGGATAGTAAGCTATAAAAGGCCTTGACATGATGAAATATAAAACAAATCAAACAGGAAAACCAACAGCCTAATTTATGACAAAACAATAGGCAGAAAACAATTATGATAGACAGCAACTAACCAGTTTGTAGAAGCCACCTTCTTCGTAGACCATTCAAATTTGACATTTTTATATGGTGGTTTGTAACTTAAAGTACATTTGGAATAAATTTATCAGGACAAAATGGCAGTACTTTTAAAATGCTTCAAATATCTTCATCAATTTCATTCTTGTTTTATCACTTTTGAGAAAGTTATTACCTTCCCCCGAAAAGTATTGGAGTTGTAAGAAATCTTTACCTTGGTCTTACTTTGAAGAGATTAACCAAAAGAGATGTAAAATACGAACCATTGAACATGAAATGCAAACCTTTGCAAATGTAATGTGACCGTTCTTAATATTACTTTTTGATAAAACATCCGAGTGAAACTTTATTGTTCTCATTTGATCCTTTTTTTTAAAATTGTATGAATTCTGGTAAATGATCTGAGTTAAGTTTTATTGTTCGCTTTCTTTTCTGGCTTTTATATAGATATGACCAGACAAAAAGTATGTCAAATATTTGGACTATCATCTTTCTTCTTTAATAGTTATATCTTTTAATTGTCATCTATAGCTCAAATTCTCATCTATTTAAAAAAACATAACTAAATAACATCATGAAAACAAATATAGAATACAAATTCAATGTCTGATTGACATGCCGAGTTAAACCAATCAAAATTTTAAATTACCAAATAATAGAATTCATGTTTTGCCAAAAGTGGGATTATATATATAAACATGTTTCGTTTCTTAATTTGTCATGAGTCGCTTTCAGTGGTTATCACATAGATTCAATTTATCTATATTCTTTGTTGCGCAATATTTAACATAAAGACGGATAAAAAAAAATTTGATAATTAATGTAAACAAAAGGATTATGGTTCAACGTAAAATGCAAGTAATTTTTGAATCACATAAAATATAAGTAACATTTGAACAACGTAAAATACAAGTAACTTTTGAATGATCAAAATCAATAACGGCATGAACTATAAAAATATACAAAATCAACAATAATGAACCCAGAACGAACAACTCTCGGTTCATATAAACCTCAAAATTAAGGACATCTTATATCTTGTCAGGATCAAGAGGAAAGATTCAATAAAAATGTGATATTTATATACATTAATTAGTATCATAAAATATTTGTTTAGATGGCCTTATGGTCTTTTATTAGCCAAAGACCATGAAACATATTGTAAAATTGATTTTTGACATAATCTACAAGGATCTTAACATACAAGCTGCTATCATTTCCAATCCTCTAGATAAATTATACCACTTATTTCATTTCAAGTACGATTTCTTTCCTGGGGCAGATGATCCCACCATAAAATATTTTAAATGGTTTCACACCATTAAACCATGGAACAGTTAAATTTTACAAATCATCAAAGAAGTATTGATGGAAATTGAAAAAAAAATCTTTGTGTTGTCAAATTAATGAGAAATATTTGATGACTGTCATACAAGTGAGAGGTTTAGCTAGCTATAAAACCAGGTTTAATCCACCATTTTCTACATAAAGAAATGCCTGTACCAAGTCAGGAATATGACAGTTGTTTTCCATTAGTTTGATGTGTTTGAGTTTTTGATTTGGCCATTTGATAAGGGTCTTTCCGTTTTGAATTTTCCTTGGAGTTCGGTATTTTTGTTATTTTACTTTTTTGATTAATGCAAAAACGTTTATGGATTTGTTTAACTGGAAAAGATTATATTGTTTGAAAAATGGTCTTGAAATTCTATAATTCCGGTGTCTTCAACCAAGATCAAGAGAAAATATCTATGTCCCTTTGGTATCCTTCTCAAGATCAAGAGAAAATATCTATGTTCCCTTTGGTATCCTTCTCAAGATCAAGAGAAAATATCTATGTTCCCTTTGGTATCCTTCTCAAGATCAAGAGAAAATATCTATGTCCCTTTGGTATCCGTCGACTCTCTTCTAACATCGTAAAATAACACTGCAATTAGATATATATATTTTCAGCTTGGTTAAGTTTAATAGAAATGTAGTGTGACTTAAGCTCAAGTTAAAAAAGAGATGATTTCAGCTTCCCAATTGGGCAAAGTCAAAATAAATGGTCCAAATTTATTTTTTTTTACCAAATTTCAACATTGTTTTAGTGCATTTTCTTTTGTTGTATCTTGATACATATACATTTAAGTTAATAAATCCAAAAGGATATAAAAAGGTATAAAGAAATAAAAAAGTTCTGAAACTTAAATGACATAAACCAATAAAACAAATTTAAATCAAGTATACCTTTTTGGAATATTATTTCAGACAAACACTATCAAATATTTATATTTTTTTCATCCCAATTGATTGCACAGGTCCAAACACTACTTTTGATGCAAAGATTATTAATCTCCTCTTTGATTATCATTTTTTTTTTATGTTTTTGGCTATTTTTTGTATCAATTCATTTAAAGTTGATTGAAAAAGTTTTGATTTAAAAAATAATTCATCAATTAGTTGATAAAAAAACTTCTCCATATTAAAATTAACCCTTTTTCAAATTCACTGAGGAAAAAAAATTGATAGATAAATCTTTTAATAAAGAAGATATATCAAAAAGATAAAACATCCAATTTCCCCTGCTTTTGTTGCACTCCTGACATATTATACACCAAAAAAAATATTGGAAACTAGAACAAAATACTCATGATTTTTTAAAATTTGTAATCATTGCTAGTTTATAAAGACCTAAATCTGTCATTTAAAGGTATTTCTATTTTAACTTAGGCATCTTATGCACTTCAGATCATATTTAAATTGGTTTTTCGGACACACTATTATAAAAATGAGGTTAAGTTACCAAACTATGAACTAAATTCTATTAAATATTCAGTAGAATTGTTGTTTAACAACTTAAAAAGAGATCTGCATTTTTCAAAGTTTTTCTGAACTATTATTATTTTTTAAAATTAATACCTATATAAGGAACTTTATTCCTCCTATTTTGATGCACTCCTGACATTCAATATATATTATATCAAAATAGTTATACATCATCAAAAAAGCCCATGATTTCTAGATTAAGTGTTTATACCTTTCAGATTTAACATTTTAATTTCATTTAAACAATATTTTTGAACTATATTGTACATATCACTTATTGTATACATAAGTTCACGTCTCATCACATTTCGCTACTATTTTTTTTAAATGGCAGTCTTTGCAATGTTAAAATAGGCTGAATTTTGTGGCTTGATGTGTAGAATATTCCTGCAAAATATCTTTGGAAAATCTCAAGTATTAAAAAAATGACGATAAAAAAAGATGCAAAAATTGCCAGGAGTGCAACACTTTTTTGTGACATTTTGAAAAAATTCTTTTTTTATAAAGACACAGCAACTTGTAATATGATGATATGTGCCATAGATTCTTATTTATATTACAACTATTATGTCTTAGTGATGATTTTAGCTACAAATGAAGTTTGTCCATTAAACCGTTTTGATACAGATGTGTTTGAAAAAAAGTATTGCCCTGTCAGGAGTGCAACACAATAGTTAGTACAGCTGTGGAATAGAATGATTTTTGAATATATGAATCACACCTAAACATAAACAAAAGTCAACCCTGTAAAAAAGATATGTCCTTTCCAGAATAAATACTTTATTAACCTGATTATTGATATAAATGTGTGATAGTCAAGTAAATAAGGCCTCCCTATAAGTGTCAGGAGTGCAACTTTGAAGTTAAAAAACTCACACTTAATAAATACAAAAGCCAATATTTTGTTCTGTTTTATTTTTCAAAAGATACTAGAT